AGCAAACACAAACTTTCCAAATTTTGGCATATTGTTGTCATCTTGCATCTGTTTTTTCCCCTTTCCCTTTTTTTTTTAAAGAAATTTCTAGCACTATCTTTTAATTAATTTTTGTATTTTACTTTATGATGATAGGTAGGGGCGGAGCTATTTTGTATGAAGGGGTTTCAGCGAAAAATTATATTATTTATATATGGTAAATGTAAGTTTATATGTATATGTATAGATGTCAGGCCCTCAAACTCCCTTTGAATATCTATTTACTGACTCGTTTAAAAATTATTTGAATTGAAATAAACAGAACCCTTATTAACAAAAAGCAGCTAGCAAAACGTTGCTCCAATCAAAAGTTGAAAACATAGCTTGTTTTGTTTTGAAGTACAATTTTGATGTTTTCACATAAGTTTGTTACTTGCACTTTGTGTTTTGCTTATTTTATAAGCAATATTTTCGTCCTTTGATTTATTTATTTTGTTTTTTACGCATGATAGTTAAGATCCCTCATTTACTATTTATTTATCAAAATAAGCAATAATTTTTTGCTATGTTGTAAGTTTAGCGTTGGTTATAGAGGTAAAGCTTGATCCAAGAAATGTTGGAGAGAGGTAATTTGATAAAATTTGATTATATAGTTATGTTAATTCGGGCTATATGACCTTAGATAGGAGGTTGTGAAGGGTTGAGGATTAGTTGATAGTAATATGTTATCTCGCTAGTCCTTCCATACTAATAGTAGTAGTAGTAGTGCTTCATGTGATTCGAAGCCAATCACTATGTAGTGAAAAAAAGTCGTATGTGTACTTGTGTAATATTGAATCGATAAATCTTTTATTGGAGATGAGAGAAAGGAAGAGAATACTTTTTATGTAGTAGTAGTCGTAGTTGGTGGTTTATATATCAAAAACAAATATATAAAACAATTATCTTTATACGATTAGAGAGAATTACAAAGAAGAAACAAATTACAAAGAGTAATCTCGAGGAATATGAACAGCTAGGTAATTCAGGGATTAAATCCAAAAATTCAACTTAAGAGAAAATTATAGACCAACGCGTGCGTCAATGATATATGATATCAGAGTCAAATTCAATTATATCACTATGTTATTTATTTGTATCGTAAAATTTTGTGATATAAAGATAACAAAAATTATTGAAGCAAACACAACTTTTTTCACAAACTTTGGCATTTTGTTGTCATCTTTCATTTTTTTAATTTCTAGCACTATCTTCTTTTAATTAATTTTTGTATTTTATAGTATGGTGGTAGGGCAATTAGGTGTGGTTTGGAACCTATTCATGTATATAAGAATCTTAAGAGCAATGTAACCTATTTATAGTATAGTTTCTTAATCTATAAAATATTTAATTAGAGATTTCTAAGTTACGTGAAAAGTAAAGAAAAATGATGTCTTCAAAAGCAAGTTTTATAATGTATAAATTTAAATTAATCAGACTCTAATATTAATATCGAAAATTAAAAAAAAGAAAATATAAGAAATCATTTTAATACAATCTAGGGAGTTTTTTTTAAGAGTTTATTCCATACACAATTCTACACTATTACGCAATGGTTTAAAATTATCATTCCTATAATTACACACTAAACATGATGACGTATAATTTTAAAAATATTAACAAAGTTGTAAAGCAAAAAAATAAATTAAAACAAACATTGTGAAAAAAGTATTAAGAAAAAAAATTCCACTTGATATTTTATTGAAAAAATTGTTTATATTAGCGAATTATTAATTCAAATTAAATGTTATGATTATAGTTTACTTTATTTTCAATTCGCAACTATTGTTTCATATAATTTGCTATAGCAACTTCTCCGAGCAAAACGACAAGAAAATGACTGCTTCTTCGACTACGGTTATAAAATTGGCGGGATTCAGAAATAGAATATACAATTAAATAGCGTTTGCTTCGGGCATATAGCCGTATATAAAAAAAAGAAAGAAAAAATCTCATGAATTTTCTTATACATATACAAATTCAACTAATAAAATTTTTATTATTATATACATATAAAAGCACAACAAAAAGAACATATACAATTATGTTGTGGTTCTGTTTTGTATAAAGCGAGAGGAAATTGTATATACACATGCAAAAACATATATTTTCTTCCTATACAAGTATAATTATACAATATACAAACATTTTACTTTGATTAAATTGTATACAAATGCAAATTTTGTACAAATATTACAAAAAAACAGGCCAGTGAATTATACAATTGCAGCGAAATAGGCCAGCGAATTTACAATTGCAGCAAAACAGGCCAGCGAATTATATAATTTATGTGTTTGAAATAGAGCGCAAATATGTAAATTTTGCTATAGCATATATATATATATATATATATATGATTTTTTTGTTTGCTATAAGTTAAGCTATATTATTTTGCAAAATTTCCCACATAGCAAAAAAAAAAATTATTAGAAAAAGAAAAGGATCCCCAAAAGATTCCAATTATTCCTATCCACTTAATTCTATTTTTTAAGATAAAAAATAAGGGAAACTTTCACATATAGTCACTTAAAAAATAATTAATTACTCTCTATAGCTACAGTTTGATAATTACAATTTGTAGCTACATGTTATATGGAGGAGAGAGGAGGGGGGGGGGGAGAGAGAGAGAGGGTGAAAAGAGAGAGAGAAAGGTGAAATGTATATGTATATTTGGTTAGATAATTGTATATTATACATATGTAATTGTATATATGGCTATAGAGAATGGGAAAGGGAGAAGAGAGGCGAGCGAGATTGAGAGAGGCGAGCGAGAGAGGGCAAAGAGTGGGAGAGAGGTGAATTGTATATGTATATAACTGTATATAATTGTATATTATACATATACAATTGTATAAATGGCAAGCAAGATTGGGAAAGGGAGGAGAGAGACGAGTGAGATTGAGAGAAGGAGGGGAGAGGCGAGCGAGAAAGGGCAGGAGGTAAATTGTATATGTATATAGTCTAAAAAATTGTATATTATACATATTTATATGTATATCATGGCGAATTATACATATACAAACGTGACTTCTAATACAAACTTGAAGTCAATCCACATAATTAATGTATAATGTTACTCGCGAGTGGTGATTATAGCAAACTATAGCTATGATGAGCAATTAAATAGTATAAATTTGCTTATTCGTGTAATTTCCAAAAAAACAAATACACAATATTAATTAATTCATTTTTTAAAAAGAAAAAAATGAGGGCAAGAGAAAGAGAAATGATGGGAATAATTATAATCCGAAAAAATAAAATCAAAAGGTAAAAGTTTTAATCAATTAAATAATTTAAAATTATTGAGTATTTTTTTAAAATATTTTCTATAAGTTCACATCTATTTTGATTTCTTAATAATTCAAATTTACAAATTTAGGCACTACGAAAGATATCAATCATCGTAACATATAAGATATATGATATTTTCATTCCTTCATCACCAAATCGGCTCATTAAAAAAATATATATGTGAAGGACAATAGATTATCGTTGATATAATCGAAAGTTTCTTATTTTTTCATACGAAAACACTGCTATTTTTCATTAATTAATTAAAATATTTATTGAAATAGACCTTGAACACTTTCTCAATGAAATAATAAAATATTTTGAATTATTATTCATGTTCACTTATAGTACCTTTTGACTTTTGTGTAGTGTATAACTTTTGTTTAAAATTTTGGAAAAATAATATAGGGCCTTTTGTATATACATTGATTATAAATATATGGGTTATATAAAAGTATATAATTATTGATGTTACAAATAAATTCATAACTGAAATTAAATAATTTGATCATAATACTCAAAATCTTTCATATAAATTGATTTTTTTTTAAAATCTAAATTACTCCCATTGTTTTAAATAGAAAATCAAATTAAAAGATAAAATAATTAAAATGAAGTCAAGTATAAACGAGAGATACTTATGATGAGCGCTTTGACGGACCGCTTTATTGACCGTCAACTTTAGCGTCAAGAGCTAATAAAAGCTTCATAATTTCGAAGGTTAAATGACGATTTACCTGACGTGGATCGTTAAATGAGACGTCATATATCATAGGGTCAACTTTCACGTTTTAGCTTACAATTTTGTAGGGATTATATATAGTATCTTTTAGGGTTTATTTTATTGCGTTGTTTTTTAGCAAAGAACACATTCACATTATACGTTACAACTAGAGTTTATTCGGAGATAACTTGATTTCTGGAATCAAAACTTTGATTGATTGTCTTCAATTTTGTAAGTTAATTCTTATTCAATGAATGTAATTGTTTGTTTCGTTTTAATTACCATGAATAGCTCAATCTTACAATTAAAGATTTTGAAATTCACGATGATTTGACATAAATAAGCATTGTTTATAGAAGAAAACATCTAGTGTCACTGTCTAGATTGTTAATTTTTTCATTTGATGATGTTCCTATATCTGCAAACATTAGAACACGTCCTAGATTTAAATCGTTTGAGAGAACGATGTTAAATCAAAGAAAAGAACTGACAACTAAGATTCGAGACTTCTAAGATTCGTCTAATAATAATGTTGTAGCAAGATTAATCAATTTAGAATGAACATCAATTTGTTTAGGGTTAACATTTTTAGTTTAAATAATAAAAATAAAACTCATTTAATTCGATTGAAAAACACGATATATCACAAGGATTGACATATAAACATACAAGCTCTATCAATTTGAATTTTGTGATTATCGGAGTTGATTCATAACATTTTGATGAATACTAGACATTTTTAGTTACTCTGTAAATTAGTTTCTTCGTTTCAAATCAATATTATTGAGGTTAAGTAATACATTATAACATTGAGAGATAATCAAATCCCCAAATCTTTTTTATTTAAATATTTACATACTATTTGGTTCTCGTCTTATTTTGTGTATGATTCATTCCCAATATTATCGAGTTATATTTTTTATAACGATTTAGACATATGATAAATTTAGATTAGTCAAATTTCAAAATTACGAAAAAAACAAAACAAACATACTTGTTCTTGTTCCTTCACTCTCTCTCCTGTTCTTACTGGAAGTAATTGGAGTGATGATGATTTCAAGAAATAGAACCTCACTATGCTTCAATAATTTGTATATTTCTGCTCCATTTTTCTCTGTTTATAACTATGGATTTTCACCCCCTTTTTTCTATGAGCTAAGGATGAGCATTTGAGTTGAAAGAGCATCATCAGATATCCATTTTCTGCCATGGCCACTGTGTATCGAGTTAAAGGTCAGTACTTTCTTGTTTGAGCTTAAAGCTCTAATCTTTTTAGTTTTTGTAGTATAAATTTGAAGACCCTTATTTCTGATTTTGATTTTTAGGTTATTTGATAGAATTATAGAGTTATTTGCTTGTTTCTTGCAACCCTAGTGAGGAAGTTCGATTTTTTTGATAAGTTACTCTGGAAGAAATCATATTTTGCTTTTGCTGGCATTTGAACCTGAAACCTCGTGATTTTTAATGGTATTCTCGGGTTTGATAGTACCTAGACCCCAATGTGTTGGACTACACTGTGTATGTTGTTGTAGTAGTATTCACGGAAACATAACTTCGTTGAAGGACTTTGGAGAATAGGGTTCAAATCAGGGCTTAAACCTTGGTGACCAAAGTTATTTGATACATGTGCTAGTGGGAGGTAGTAGCTATTTGGTGGAATAGTCGAGATGCATGAAAGTTGGGCTGGACAACACGGTACAACAAAAAAGAGAAGATAGTAAGGAGGTGAGGAGCTTATTGTGCAGAAAACTAAGTTTATAACCTTGCCTTTTTGTTTAGTACAGAATTTATGTAATGAGGACTGTAACACAACATGGACTACGTGAATGAGGTCAATAACTCCTACATAACAAGTGATATTTTCGCTTGCGAATGCTCTATTGGTTGCAAAGGCCAGTAAGAGCACAGAAACTTGTCTTTATATGTATGCAACGAAAATAGGTATATCAGATAGCTTTTCTTCTTTATTGACTATGACTGTTATCATCAAAAGGCGCTATTATGAGTTTTGATTTAGATAACTATGTATGCCAGAGCAGTCAAAGAATATGATTTTTCATAGTAGAAAATGCTTAAAGGAAAGAAACTGTTGCTTTCTAACTTTATAGTTTCTGGGCTGGTTGTACCTTTGCCTTTTGGAGACATACTTTGTGTCTAAGTAGTAAATAATAACTCAACTGTGATATGTAATGGTTCTTGCAGTATCAACTAGTCACTATGTTGAATTATCATCTGCTTTACTATTGGCTGAATCATTTACGATTAAACTATGATGACAGTTATTCGTAAGAGAGCAGAGAGGCATGAACGGAAGCGAATGCAAAATTATAAAGTGCAGGCGGAGAGACTATCTGCATTCGAAGAATTGCTTAATGAGATTTATACAGTTTGCCGCCCTAAACCAAGGGATTATGAAGTCAGGAGAGATTTGATTTCTGCTTTTAATGAGATAGCAAAGGATATCTATGGTAATCTCTGCACCAAAACTTTTTACAGCACCATTCAGCAAATGGATCCTTTGAACTGGCTTATAGTAGCTATGTTAATCAACTTGATAAAAAATAATTCAGCATGATGTGACAGTTTCTCCTTTTTCTCTTCTTTTTCAGGATATTCTGGTAATGCTCCTGTCGTGGAGGAGTTTGGATCTTTTGTAATGGATCTATTCCATTCAAAGAGTGACCTAGATCTTTCTGTTAATTTTGACAACAATTCAGCTCAATTTTCGCATGAGAAGAGGATTCAAACTCTCAGAAAATTTGCAAGGAAGCTGTATGCACTTCAAAGTAAGTCTTTGATTTAATTACTTTGTTTCCTTGATACTGTCTGCAGTTCATGGATTACTGCCTGTCCTAACCAAAATTTGAAGTACATTTTTACTTTGAAGAGTAGATTGAATTTTAGTCGAATAGTAGATTCACTACTCTGAATGTTCTCTAGGTGAAAAAATATGTTGCCACTTCAAATAACTGGCTATTTCCAATTTTCCATTAGCAGAACCAATTAAATAAAGTTTTTAAGGTAAATGTCAGGTGCCATTTATTTTGAAAAAGTGACCTGGTTTTCTTAGTTTTTACAATGGAATATGGTCCACATGGTGTATGCAACGAGGCAGGTAAATGTGGTAGAAAATAGTGAAAAACAAGAAGGTTGAGTCAACTGTTCCTCAGTCCCAAACTATTTTGCAGTTATATGGATCCTTCGTATATATATTTGCTCTATATAGCACTTTATTTGTCACTACTGGGGTTTAGTATGTTTGGTTTATTTCATCTGTGGTTTTCGGTGCTTCAGAACATGGGCATGTATCTGGTGTTCATCCAATAACAGCTGCTAAGGTGCCCGTTTTGAAAGTTGTTGATTGTGGAACTAAAGTTGAGTGCGATATATCGGTTGAAAACAGGGATGGAGTTTCAAAGTCTAAGATAATCCACATGATTTGTTCTCTTGATGAAAGGTTTCAGAAGCTGAGCTTTTTGGTAAAATTCGATCTCTTGTATGTTTGCAATAAGTACAGTTGTTCCTGAAATGAAGTAGAAGTTTAATTCTGCTTGTTCAATCGTTTGGAAGACCATTTCTTTGATTCCTGAATGCATCATAGCAGTTCCACAGGGCTACTAGGTCTTGGCACAATTACCTGTGCTCCCCGCACATAAATGAATAGGATAGCCATTATATCACTTTCTCTAACTTCACTTGAAATATATTCAGAAATAAGAATTCCTTTCATATGGCCCATGAGATATACAATACATAGCAAGTAAAAGGAAGTTCACAATATAGGACTAAGCCTCCTATTTTTGCCAGCCAAAAAGACATGGCATGTTATCACATGGGACAATGGGAGTGTAGGATTAGAGAGAAGAAAAAAAAAGCAACGAAAGGAGCCAAAAGCCTCTGTTTGAAAGGAAGCAAACTTGCAAGTTGTATCAATTAGTTATGCACAAAGACTTGCATCTTTTAAGAACCTAGATTGACAAATAAGGAGATAAATTATTTTTAAAATCTTTTTGAAAAATTACTTTTCATCCTTTTATATCATCTAAACTTGTTAAACAGGTAAACAACACTGAATCCTACTTGCTCCAAACATTGGGGAGGTATAAAATATTTGATCTATATCTATAACCTCATCAAAGAAACTAGTAGGTTATGTACTCTTCCATGATTGTTTATTTATGAGAGAACTTCACTTCAAGAAAGGACAAAACTAAGCCAAGTCATGTTGATGAAGGGCGAGCAATGTAGTTTCCATAGCTTGTCTGGTCTCTCATTGTGCTGGGAAATATTCTTTTGCTTACTAATCAAAACAACTTCAGAGGCCAGCTATATTTTATGTATTAGAGTTTATTTAGATTTATTCACATCATTCTATTCAGTTATCAAAAAAATTTACATCATTCTATTCGCATCCTTAAAAAGTATGATCTCTTGTTTCTTGCAGATGAAAACTTGGGCAAAAGCGCAGAATATTAATAGCTCAAAAGACAAAACTTTGAACTCATTATCTATAATACTTTTGGTTGCTTTTCATTTGCAGGTATGAGCCAAGTTTGCGTTTTTTCTCTGTTGCCTGCTTACTCTTTTTTTGGTGCTTATATATTATGGACAGCATGCTGATTACTTTGAGTCAATATAAATTGTGCCTTCAGCTGAATGTTTTGTTATCGCGGTTAATCGTCTGCCAGTGTAGGAGCTACTGGTCAACTAATAACATAGCCTTACACAAATGTTACCAGTTTCAAAAAAAATAACATAACCTTACACCGTGTACACTATGGTAATTTGTACTGGTTATTGCTATGAATAAAATCTTCACCTTATTAGAAGAAAAATTACTCCAATAAGTCTGGACAGCTGTAGTTTTAATGCAGCAAATAGTTATACAAAAAATGTTACCTTCTCAAAAAATTTAGAAGAAGATTTACTCTGGTGAAATCATATGATTTGACTTTAGTCTGTTGTGGTTATTCAACTCTTTTTTTTTCAATGCCCTCTCATGATTTTGTTGCTTTCTTGTTTTATTTAATAGGGACCTTAAATTTTAGTGATTCAATGCTCTGAGATATAATACCGTCTATGAAGGCTATTCTAAGCAAAACAGAATTCCCCAAGTCTTAAAAATGTGGTTACAAGACCAAATTTATATTTTCAACTTAAGAAAAAACAAAGTCTATCCTAGCTGGTCAACCAAGGTTGGTATCTAAGTGAAGAAAGGAAGAAGAGCAGGACCCATTAGCCACCAAGTTTGTGTTGTTTCAACTTATAGAACACAAAAGAAATTTATTTTTTTGTTCTTGCAGTACCTTCTTGGTATTATTTAATGAAATTTACTTTGCCTGATCCAAAAAGAAAGGAGAAAGAAAAAAGATAGTTTGGTGAACCCTCTTGTACAAGCGGTGTTGCTCTTGTAAGCTTTTTGTTGCTGCATTTAACTTTTCTTGTCAATAAAAGCATTATAAATAATTCTGATTCGTATTATTATGCTTTGCTGATTTAATTTTGCGGGAATATAAATTATGAAAGTCTTGTCTTTTTTTTATAAAAAAATCTGTAAGGAAATTGATGTGTACTGAGAATTATGTGTAGATATCTTGATTTCTTTCTAGAGTGCTATTAATTTAGTTTTTTAGTTCATAATCTGTTTCATTTTGTTATTTGGGGTCGTCTGAACTTCTCCCTCTAATGAATGTTACTTTGCAGACACGAAATCCTCCAATACTACCGCCATTTTCTGCCGTATTAGAAGGTAAGTATGAATTTTCACTTATTCAGTTTTCGGACGCCTTTTTTGAAGGGATATCAGTACACAGTGTAGTGAAGTACTGTTGTAGAAAATAAAAATTCCCAAGAATAAGGATCATGATAGAAATACTTTTTTCGTGAAGGAAATATATAGGACTCTATGCATCAGAACTGGATGTGTATGAAAAATCTCTCATTTGTCACACTGTCAATGCAGTGATACATATGCATAATTCTTTTTCTTTTATACATGACTTGGCAGTTTTGGTTTTAGCACTTGTTGCGTTGTTTGACTTTTGATTCATATTGATACGTGGCCCTACTGTGAATAGTTAAGGAGAATAATGTTCTCTTTCATGTTAGGATTATGTATGTGGTGTAATAGTCATGGCAGTCGAAAGGGAGTAAGATAATATTATCTTGATTATTTCCAGTTAAATGATTATTCTATCACATCATGCGATGCTAATAACAAACGTCTGAAACACCAAGCAAGTAGACCAGAGGAACTGAAATGCCGGTCCCCATGGAAAAGAAAGAAAAGCTTTCGGAGGAGATCAGTTTTTGTTTTTGGTGCAGTTCAATTGCTTGAGTGGTCTTCTCTGGCAAGTCTGTCGATGATGTAAAAACTACACAGGGTCAAGTCAAATAGTAAATCCTCAACACTACCAGTTTTAAAAACAAATTGTCAAATAGGAAATCCTTAATCCTTTCTGATTAGAAAGTGAGGAACCAAAATCATCACTATAAGATATGTAAATTTCAAGAATAATGTTGAGGTTTTCTATTCAAGTAGATCCTAAGTGATGCTTCTCTTTGCACTTGTTTTTTTCATGAGATCTTTTGTTTTGAGTAGCTCGGTAATATTCCTTGGCGTTGAACTGTTCTAGATGGCTCGGATCCTGATGTGGTGGCGAAGTCATTGAAGAAGTTTGTGAACTATGGGAAGGGGAACAAAGAGTCGGTGGCTGAGCTGCTAGTTACACTGTTAATCAAGGTACTGTGAATTCAGTATCATCTTAAAGTGGGGCTTTGCATGAGACTCCCAATTCATAGCAAACATCCATTTTCTGGCTCATTATGGTCTCATTTCATTGCAGTTATTGTCAGTTGAGAAGCTATGGGCCAAAGGACTATGTGCAAGTACCTACGAAGCATCTTGGCTATCTAAAACATGGGACTCCAAAGTTTGCTGCATCGGTGTAATTATCTTTCACTTATTGATGTCCTTTGTGCTTAGCAATCTTTGAAGTGTTAAAATAATGACTTATTGTGCAGGTTGAGGATTTCATTGACCGGTCTCAAAATGTTGCAAGGGCGGTTGGGAAAGGAGAAGTAAAACGGATATACAAGTGTATCCAGCGTACCAGCGAATACATTTCTCTTTTTATGGACGGTCTGGTCGAAATACCCAAATTAAAGTCTCAGTTGTTTGGCAATGCTGCGCCCTTTCAAGACGTTTTTGAGACAAGGAACATTAAAGAAGATGGAAATATAATCACTCTTCCTTGTAGAGATATGAAGAATAAGAAGGACCAAAGTAAAGAAGGCCAGAACGGAAGTCAGTGGGCTATACCTTCTGAACCTGTTGCGAAGTCTACCGAAGGTTGGGAAGGATTAGCTTCAGTGAATGGGGGACAGTCAAAAGGAAAATGGTCTACTGAAGGTTGGGAAGAAGTACGTTCAGCGAGTTGGGGACAGCCCAAGGAGGACAGGGAACCAGCCGACTCTCCATGGTCAAAAGGAAAATGGTCTACTGAAGGTTGGGAAGGCATACATTCAGCGAATTGGGGACAGGCCAAGGAGGATGGTGGACCAGCTGATTCTCGATTGTCAAAAGGAAAATGGTCTACTGAAGGTTGGGAAGGCATACGTTCAGCGAGTTGGGGACAGCCCAAGGAGGATAGGGAACCAGCTGATTCTCGATTGTCAAAAGGAAAATGGTCTACTGAAGGTTGGGAAGGCATACGTTCAGCGAGTTGGGGACAGCCCAAGGAGGATGGTGGACCAGCTGATTCTCGATTGTCAAAAGGAAAATGGTCTACTGAAGGTTGGGAAGGCATACACTCAGCGAGTTGGGGACAGCCCAAGGAGGATGGTGGACGAGCTGATTCTCGATTGTCAAAAGGAAAATGGTCGACTGAAGGTTGGGAAGGCATACACTCAGCGAGTTGGGGACAGCCCAAGGAGGATGGTGGACCAGCTGATTCTCGATTGTCAAAAGGAAAATGGTCTTCTGAAGGTTGGGAAGGCATACGTTCAGCGAGTCGGGGACAGCCCAAGGAGGACGATGGACCACCTGACTCTCCCTGGTCAAAAGGAAAATGGTCTACAAAAGGTTGGGGAAATACATCTTCAGCGAATTGGGGACAGTCAAACGGGGACAATGCACCACCAGTCTCTATCTTGACAAAAAGGAAAAGATCAGAAGAAACCCCGCGAAGAACTTCTTCTGCTCAATGGCTGGGGAAATCAGACACGAAAAGTTGGCCCAACAGAAAGCATAACAGTAAGTATGCACCCAACGCTAAGTGGTCAAAAATGCAGAGAGGAGGTCAGGGAGGAAGCTAAATGAACCATTTGCGCGTATCTAGTTGAATCATCTGCAACAACTTTTACATTCTTGCTCCGACTTGGGGAGTAGCTCGTATAGATAACGTACCCCTCGTTATCCTCTTGTTTTTTTTACTAGTTGGTTAGAACATTTTGTACAGAACTTAGCAATGACCTAACAAGATGGCATGTTAACTGCTCAATGTAACATTTAATTTTATGTACCTTATGAACATCAAGAAATCGAATGAAAAACAGATTCTCAAGAAGCCAAAATCTCTCTCTTTCTGTAATAGTCGAAGTGTGTGTAAGCTAGTTATCACACCATCATTATGAAAAAAGAAAATGAAATCAACAAAGAAAAACAATCCAGCAGAAAGATCTATCAAATTTCTATGACTAAATTCCAACAAAAACAAACAAGGTTTTTTTAAGTTCTACCTGAAATTAACAACATATAGTAACAAGTCAAGCCCGATGCATGAAATATCTCGTATTCACGCAGAACCTGGAGATTTTAACAACATAGTAAAAGAACGACTTGTTGCATAAAGTATCTTTCATTCACACAGGAAATTTAACAACATAGTTTGTGATAATTATTAATAATACGTCTAGATTTTGTCTCCTCTGACAGACTTAATACTATCGGCAATAGCTATAGCATCCATTGAAATACCCGCAATGCCTCTTTTTGAAAATCCAGCAGCGTAGAGCCCATTTTGTCCTTTCCAATTTTTCAATGTGCCATCTTCAAGGAATATTGAGCTATAATCCTACATACAAAAATGATTTTTTTTTTTACATATTTGAGACAATGATAGTAAACTTAATAGTAAGTAAAATTAGTAACTAGGAAAAATTGTCGAGAAAAACTTATTCACACACGATATTTTTATAGGCAAGTGGAACAGTTTCAAGATTCAAAATTAGAACTAAAAAAAGAACATAGTGATAATTTGCAAAACGTACCTTTAGCCATTTGGTAGCAACATTTTTGTATCCAGTAGCGAAAATGATCGTATCAAATTGATGTTCATCTCCATTGTCAAACACTACTGTTTGTTCCTTTATTTTCGAAATTCCAGGAAGTACCTAATTAACAATTCACAAAAGTTATTTCACAAAAAAAAACAAAGGTCCGTCTAAAAAAGAATGACCCGTTTTCATTTTTGGCAATACTTTAACTTTAACTTTACACGTGGCGTATTTAAGACCACAAGATTAAAAGAACAAATTAGTACATCTGACAAAACTTTAATTTAGAACCACAAGATTAAACAATCTTTTTTTTTAAAACTACATTCTAAGTCAAACTAAATCATCCTTTTTTAAACGGAGAAAGTAATACATTAATGCATACTATATGATCTTTTTATACAAATTTAATATTTTAAGCAAAAATTACTGAATTCTACTAATTTTATAACTATAACAGTAAAAATGTTGTCCATGATAATGAATTTTTACCCATCTTCATTAAATACTAAAGTCATCTATTTTTCACACATAATATTTCTTACAATAGAATGAAATAAAATAAAGATAGTATCGTACCTTTATCTGTCCGAGTTTGATCTTATCGATTGCACCAACATCAATTACCGGAGATCTACCTTTTGATATTTTAACAGAAAATGGGCCTTCTTTCGGCTGCGATATTCCTAATTTTGCCAAATTTCCGAATTTAAATTTTGCGTATTTTGCAATTACAGCATCAACCCAAGATACTGGTAAATATTTTAGCATTAACATTGCAGTATACACCATCTCCCTTGTTAAAATATGAATCTGCAAAAAATAAAATAAAATTAGGATAAAATATAGGGAAAATACCCAAGTACCCCCTCAACCTATGTCCGAAATCCCAGAGACACACTTATACTATACTAATGTCCTATTACCCCCCAAAACTTATTTTATAAGTAATTTTCTACCCCTTTTTTGCCTACGTGGCACTAGTTTGAAAAAAAAAGTCAACCATCGTTGGGCCCACAAGATAGTGCCACGTAGGTCGAAAAGGTGTTAAAAATTATTAATAAAATAAGTTCAGGAGGGTAATAGGACCTTAGTATAGTATAAGTGTGTCTCTGAGATTTCGGGCATAGATTGAGGGGTACTTGGACATTATCCCTAAAATATACTAAAACCTTTAAAATTAACAACCAAATTGAATGTACATGTGAAAAAAAAAACTTGCATCATCTAACTATAGAAAAATTATAAACATAACCACATAGAATTATAAACGTCAAACTGTGTATATTGTTAGTGTAAAAAATATTTACGTTGTTAATATTTATATTCATCGATGGTAATAACGAAGATATATTAGATGATGTAATTACGTAAAAATGAGACTTTTGATCATTACGTAACAATAAATTTAATAAAACTGTACAATAAAATTTAAAGAACAAACAAATGGAAGTGATCGTAGTAAGTAGGAGAATAATGCCATCAAATTCCATTTGCGGAAGAATCATGCACATATCTAATATCGACGATAACTTTCATGCAATTATTATACTCTTGAAAATATTGCATGATATCTAAAAATTTAATCATATATATATGTATGTGTGATTTCTCTTGCATTGCCTTCTCCATGTTAAGCAAACAATTACTACTAAAAAAATTAAAAATTTAGCTACGGAAAATTTTTGTTGCTAAACAACAAATTCCGTTGCTAAATTCATTTAGCGATGAATTAAGGACTGATTTTTGTTAGCAATGAGCAAAATAACAGAAGAATAAAGTATGTTTTTTATATAACATGTGAAAAAATAACTTTGCAAAAAATTGTTAATATTACAAACTATTCTACTTATAAGAAAAAGAAATCCTAATTTTTTTTTGTTTCAAAGTTCAAACTCAGTTCCTCAAAGGAATTCTTTAAACAAATTAACTATATATGTTTAAAACAAACATGAATTTGAAATTTTTAATTTTGTGTCATTTAGAAATGGAATTAAAAGATTTTTTCTATCTTCTGAGGGAAATTTTAACATCTATCCAATTAAAAGAAAAAAAAAGCAACAAGTGTTGAAAGAAAAAAAAATTAACACACCGACTTAATTGATCAAACATCATCAATATCGACTAAAAAAAATCAACAAACACAAACCTAAAAAAATAAAGAGAAAGAAGTAAAGACAAGTTATAGAGAATTACTGGGCTTCTAACGACGATTGATGCATGACATCCATAATTTGAAAGATCAAACGCTATTTCCATCCCAGAGTTTCCCGATCCAATAACCAATACGTTTTTTCCTTCGTATTTTCGCCCAAATTTATAGTCACTTGAATGAACAATTTCGCCTTTGAAATTTTCCATCCCTACCACCTTGGGAATATAACCTTCATTATTTTCCCCTGTAGCCAAAATCAAGAAATCACAAACATACACTTTCATATCTCCACTAGACAAATCTCTTGATTTGACGTTCCATTTACTCTCTTCATTATTGAAATACGCCCATTCAACACATGTATGATATTTCGGTTTGACATCGAAATATTCCACGTACTTATCTAAGTACTGAATAAATTCATTTTTAGATAAATATTTCGGAGTCGAAGTTGTATATGACATAAAAGGTAGAGAACAAAAACCCTTAGCTAAGTGCAAATGTAGTCTATCATAAGTCTTTTTCTTCCACAAATAAGCACAACAATCCTCTTTTTCTAACACAACATTTTTTATACCAAATTTATTTAAACAAGCTGAAACAGCTATCCCAGATGGACCAGCTCCAACTACCACAACTTCAATTTCTTGCTTAGAAAAAATCACCATTGTTAAATTTTCACAATGTGAAAAAGAGACAATTTTTTTTTTTAAATTTTTAGTATTGTTGAAACACAATTTCAAACAAGAGTTGAATGCAGGCAATGAGGGGTATTTATATTATATAGTTTTCAAAACGATATTTATTGTTTTTTGCCTTTTTTAAAGAAAAAATATGGAAGATAACGGTTACAAAGGTAAATTAGTTTGGAAGTAAAGACTATTGATTTGTCATTTTGGTGTTATAAATGGATACAATTCATCTATAATTTGTTTTATATGAAGACAACTATTTCCACGTGTCTTCAGTCACGTATATGGTTTTTAATATTATTATTTTATATTATGGTAATTAAATATAAAACTTAAAAAATCTTTTTTGGAATTTTTTCCATTGCAAATTATATGTAACGTCATGTTGACTCAAGGGTGGTTAGTCGTCAAACACCTTTTTCATTAAAAAAATTACCTTTTTCATTAAAAAATTAGGTTGTCATAAGTCAAATTATATTAGTTAATTTTAGCTAGTACTAATCAGATACATTTTTTTTACTGATAACTCTGATATACTAAGGCCACTTGCACGTATCTTGATTAAATTGATTAATACTTTTTTAATTCTTTACACACACCCTCCTCAAACATTGTCGCCTTCCCTTCCTTTGCCATCAAGTACGTACTCAAATTTGATCAATGACCGATTTCTAGATTTCGTTATAAACCTAATTGATTATTTCAAATACACGGGTTAATAATGTTAGAAAAACAAACATAATTGGTACTTCATTGAATAATTATTACTAAAATAATAAACAATGATAGTCTAGCATAGTATCTAATTTTGGATTTTTCTCTAATATATACCTAATTACCATAAAAAAAAATGTAACAAGAAAAAGTGATTGAATGGAGTAACTTGATCTTTGACTAGTGTAATTAACTAATTTTGTTAAAGGTGTTCCCCTCCCTCATGTTATTTGTCGTAATTCTCTTCTACGCATCCGTTAAGAAAGATTAATTAGGAAATATTTTTAACTATATTATCCTTCATTGATATTTAAACAATCATAACATCATCCCATAATTGAGGTGTTTGTAGTCTTAAAAAATAATAACACCATATAATATATAAAAAAAAAATACTCAAACTTGACCTCGATTGTTAAATAATCTCTTCAACTTTGAAAACACATAACTAAACATCATGAGATTTACGACTCGTACTTGATCAGAACCCAATAGCTATACTCTTCTAATGCGAAATGGAGAGTATTACACAAAAAATAGAAGTAAGAACAATAATAATAACACGATAAATGCAATAATCAAAACACAAAAATACTACTGATAGATGAAACCAAGAAACTACGAGAATAGTGTTAATATTAGTAGCGAAGGAAGGTCCAAGTATATATACTTAGCACTTTTGCTTCCACATTGGTGTATTATTTTATCCTCCCATATATATATACATCAAATTAAGTATTAAAACTAAATAAGTGATGGAACTTATCCTAAATAACTGGAGAATTAAGATTAATTAGATACTATGTGATTAGAAACAATTCTGTTAAGTAATGGTTCTGCCCCGAACAAGATAATTAACAAATTAGAAGTTTACTAAAAAAAATAATTAAAATAAAAAATGATGTTAAAATAATTAAATCGAAAGAAATATTAATTTTTTTTATAACAAAATCAATGAATAACGAGATCGAAACTAACATGAATCGTGAGTTTGAGGCCAAAATATATAGTCTGAAGAGTGATTCTTGGAGACGCATTGATGATTGTCCTCGGATGGCTCAATTTCGAAGGAGTACACGGAGTTAATGAATTTTGGACAAAGATATTTATCTCAAGAACGAATAATTTAAATTTGAAACAATATATATTAAGATGTGTTCATTTAAACTCGAATTAATAAAATTAATTAAGTAGAATGCATAAGTAAATCGACTTATACATAATTACAAAGCTAAATGAAGGAGCAATATTAATGTCAGGCAAGAATACTAACTTGAAAAATCTAATCTAGAATACAATTTATAAGATAATACTAACTTGAAAGACCTAAAAATGTGCTGAAAAAAATCCACACCCAAAGACTTGAAAAATAAATTGTTTTTCAATAAGGAGTAATAGGGTTTTAGTATAGCTATGTACGGATGGCAATAAGGCGAGACGGATTTGAGGCGGGATGAGTTTAAAGCTCCATGGGGGATGAGGCGGGTTGGAGTGATAATTTTTTAAAAATTAACGTAGGGTGGGACGAGTTGCAGTTATATGTGATTTCACGTGAATTCAAACTTGATTTTAACTTTTTACATGTTATAAGAGTGATAAAATATTATTTATTAAAATAATATCTTTAATGTTCAATAAAAATAATACAATTTTTTACATGTTTTCAATTGACTTTTTGTAAAACAAAACTTTAAGTCACTGTCTTATTAAATTAATATAAATTAATAAAAAAATAAATTTCTTTTTATAAATTTTATTTTTATCATCAAACTTAACTAAAAAATAAAAATATTAAAAAAGATTATGTGAAACCGATTCATGTGAAACGGGACAAATTAAAAGTTACACAAATTACACTCAACCCTCCCAAACCCTACTGTCATCCCTATATGTACAAAGGTTTAAAACAAGAAGAATAGAGATAGTGCCAACATAAGTCCCCAGTTCATTTAATTCATAAAGTTGATAAATGATCACCTTTTGTTTGGTCCCAAGATGACTATAGTTCAGTCATTGAGATGACAAGTACCAAGTTCTTTTTTTCTTATTCGATACGCAGAGACCTGATTAAATTCAATTCATAGATAATATAACTTAATTAAAATAATATTCTCAACAAAAAATAAATATCAAGTTTATATTTTACAATCGTTATCTTTTACCTTTATAATTTGAACCACTATAGTTCCAAGTTCATAAACGTAAAAAATTTATGATAATAATATATTTGATGTAATAAAATCAATTGAATTATGCAACAAATTAAATCTGACATTATAATTATAAATTTTTTTTAATGAAAATAAACTCCACCACAAAAATTTGGGCAGACTTTTTGTCATATTCATTAGCATTAAGTTTCTTTCAATTTTAGCCCAATTTTTTTTAATAATAATACAACTTGTTTCTATGGTGAGGTCCACTCTCATGTTACACTTGTCTATTCCATTGTCCCAAAGTTTTTTTTAATAGTTGAATCTTTGTATGGAAATTTGATTAAATTTAAATTTATATTCAAATGTTTTGTATTAGGAGGTGAAATGATGTAATCCATATTCAAAACAGTTTAAATTTGAAATCTTTAATTAACGATAAATAAAATATTAATCTCTCCACCAGAATCGTGTTGGTAGAATCCCTTTCATCCAAAGTCACACATTCATTAATTAGTTCAAACTAAAGTTCTATAAAAATTAGAATTGTATCATAGTTTCTTGAAGATAAATGATATTAAAATTATTTTATTCTGTATTTGATTGAATTTTTTATTCGAAAGTAACTAGGGTAATTTCGTTTATAATATTAACATGTCAAAGATTTCCTTCTTCAAAACTTTTATTGTAAAGTTCTTTTTAGAAAAAAAATTAAGGCTAAAATTGAAAATCAATGTGTATTTGAATTCAGTTTTATATTATAAATTTTGTATTACTTGTTTGAAAACCAAACAATGAAACTAAAAATTGATGTTTTTGGTCATGGCTTCATGACACTTGCAACAACCTATAGTTGACAATATATTTTTTCTTTTTTTAAAAAAAATAAATTTTAAAATTATTTTATAAAGATGACATTACCAAAAATGTTATGTTTTGTTTATTGTCACATTTGTGGTCAAAAGAATAAATTATGGACTAGGACTACTTTAATCAATTGGGGTATGATTAGTTATTTAACCATATTAAATTAAACTAAAGTTACTTACTTTAAAAACATTGATTGAGACAACACACCAATAAGTAATACTCATTCTATCTCAATTTGTTTGGCTTAATTCAGAGTATGATAATCAAATTTAATTAATGTTGATCTATATTTGGAAAAGTATAAAAAATAAGAACAAATTAATAATTAACAAATAATATTTGAAAAAATTATGATCAAATAAATTATTTCTTGATTGTTCAAATAATAATTAAAATAAACAAATTAAAACAGAGAAAGTAGTTTATGATAGCAAAGAAGAAATTGTTGAGATTAGCGACTAATCCAAGTAGTTATTAAGACAAAATTGTCTCACTAATTATCTAATGTTTAGGATGCACTTAAGTATTAATTAATTCCACTAGGCACTAATAATAATATTAGTTAATTACTCAAGTTTGAGTTGACAACTCTGCAATCATGGAGTTCAATTAATATGAAATTTATAACTAATAGTTTCTATTTTTTTAATAATCCTATATTCTCTCTTAATTTTGAAATATTATATAGTAGTCTTTTTTTTTTGTAAAATTATACAAGTTGCATACATGTTTCTTTTTTTAATTAATTTTTTTTTTAAGTTCCAATATGAAATTTGGTAATATCTTTGTTTCAATATATTTGATCTGTTTTGATTTAACACGAAATTTAGAAAAATATTCAAGACTTTCAAATCTTGAGTTCTTAAATTAAAAATGCATAAAATGTATCAAAATATCATTTGATCTTACACATTAAACACATCACGTGCAAAGTTAAAATTAAGTAGTTGTTAAAAAGGAAAAGAGTAATTTCTTTTAACGGTCTAAAAAGGAAAAAAATATATCTGGATATAGAACTCCGTTATCATATATGACATCATTTTCAAAACTCAAATTCAAAACTTCTATTATAGATTTATGCATACTTGCTAATTCGAATCAGTGGGAAAATTCATTTTTTTTAGTTTTTTCCCCCCTGATTTCTATGCTCCTAACTAATTTCTGATTATACACTATAATATCCATCTGAAATTGATACTTTTAAAATAATTTTTTTCATACTCAATATTTAAATTTAAAATCTTTAATTAGAAATCGATAAATCCCGACATAGGTGTCACTTTAGGGTTAACTTAAGTAGTCATGCCTTTTTTAAATTAAATTAATTAAGAACACTTCCATGTTTACTTTGTTTAATTTTAGATACAACGTAAGTTGACATAAAATATGCACTTCAACATATAATATTATATTGGCTCCTGACTATAATATTTTTCTAAAATATTATGATTGTGAATTAGCCCATTATTGTTAATTATGATTATTAAAATATTTTCCAGAAAAGAAAAAGAAAAATTGAAAAGGACGTAAGAGAAAACTCATCATTGAAATGACAATACATTAATACGAAATCTTCATTTATTACTAAAAGGAGTAAAATAGAAACAAGTGTTCTTTCTCATCCCATATTTCATATTTAGATTATGGTTCGATTAAATTTAAATTTACGCATTACATAATTATGATATAATTAATAATTTTTTAATTTTTTAATGTGAAAATTTTAGTTTGATTATTACGTTATATAATGTAATACTCTAAAATGATGATTTTTGATTAAATATTTGAATACACGATTAGATATTTATATCTAAAACTTCCAATTTAAACTCAAATTCTTATTAGATAATAAAAGTTATTAAACACATAAATCAATTAAACTTCTTTCATTATATACTTCAACTTCAATTATGAATAATATTTACAACTTATTAAGATGAAGACTTAAAATTAATCAAAGAATGTAACATATTTCAACTACTTAACTTATAAAACAACAATCCCAATATTTTATCATGAATCTAAATGCTCAATTACTCAGATATAAAATTTAAATGTCTAAATAAAATTTTCCGATAAATATATAATGAGCCAAAATCCTCTTTTACTCGTTAAAAGTGTGACATACATACAGACTGCAGAGAGAAAGAGAGAGAGGAACACAAAGACAGAGACAGCAAAAAGAGACAAGGGAAGGACAGTACATAACAAGACAACTCTGCCTTGTCCTCCCCCCACCCCCACTCCCCCACACCCCCTACCCCCACCCCCATACTCCCACCCCCATATCCTCCATTGTTTTTCTTCTTGGCATACCAACAAAAATCTTCACATTTTTCTCACTGTATCAAAAATTGCCTATTTGAACCAAACCCCATTTCCCTATCAACACCATGTAGTTTAGTTTTTGCTCATCAAGATTCAATCTTTAAAGCATTTTTCTTCATACTTGGGTGTTTTCTAGTTTTTGGGTCATCATGAAAAGCATTAAAAATTCAATCTTTAACCATTTTTAGGAGTTTTCAAAGTTTTTGAGTCATGAAGAAAAGCATTAAAAATTCAATCTTTAAGCATTTTTGTTCATTTTTAGGACTTTTTAAGTTTTTGGGTCATCAAGAAAAACATTAAAAATTCAATCTTTAAGCATTGTTTCTTCATTTTTAGGACTTTTCAAGTTTCTGGGTCATCAAGAAAAACACTAAAAATTCAATCTTTAAGCATTTTTGTTCATTTTTAGAACTTTTCAAGTTTTTGGGTTATTAAAAAAACATTAAAAATTCAATCTTTCAGCATTTTTGTTCATTTTTAGGTCTTTTCAAGCATTTGGGTCACTAAAAAAACACAAAAAAACCAATCTTTAAGCATTTTTCTTCATTTTTAGGACTTTTCAAGTTTTTGGGTCATTAAAAAAACATTAAAAATTCAATCTTTAAGTACTTCTCTTCATTTTAGGACTTTTTAAGTTTTTGGGTCATCAAGAAATTTTGGAAAAATGTATTCAACATTGCCTATAAGGAATTTGGTTATAGAGGAAAATGGGGATTTTTTCAATCATCATATGAATCATAATCTTCAGGCTTCTCTTTCAGTTGATGGTACAAATTTGCCTGGTGATTCTTGTTTAGTTTTATCAACTGATCCTAAGCCTCGTCTTAGGTGGACAACTGAGCTCCATGAAAGGTTTGTTGATGCTGTTACTCAACTTGGTGGTCCTGAGAGTAAGTACTCCTCTTTTATCTGCATTTTGTTTACTCGTTACGATTTATGCGTCACTTTTCATTTTTCGATAACTAATTTGAGTAAGAAAAAAGTTTAATTGGGACTAAAGATGCTTCAAGTGTGTTATCTAGTGGTCATTAAAATGTGTTGAGAAGAGAATCATGAATCGTAGGTTCAAGTTTTAGCAGAAACAAAAATATGAGGTGATTTCGTTACAATTTGTATGATACTTTTTGTTATTCGAGAGTTAGTTTAACTAAAAAAGGTTTAAATTGAGACAAAAGATGCACCAATTGTGTTATTTAGTGGTCAACGAAGTCTCCCCTTTTAAGTCCTTTCGGAGATAAAAACACTAGATGATTTCTTCTGTTGTTGGTGAGACTTGATAGGTGAGAAATATTTTGTAGAATTATTTGAGGTACTCGAAAATTGATCAGGACACCATGGTTATCAAAAATGAAAAAAAAAATAAAATACTAGGACACATTGAGTACTCTTTTAAAGGATTTAACTTTAGCTTCCTCTTTACCCTTTAGACCATTCGTACTCCTTTTTAGATGTTTAGTATTTAAATCATGGTGTAAAACTGAATTTATAATATAAAGAAGGGTAAAATTAAGATATTCTGTATAGAGCTTTTAAATTTTTTAAAAGATTTTTTTTTATAAAGTATTGATTTTCTTTACTGTGCTGTTCTATGTTGTACATTATGCATTAGTAGTTGTTCTTTCCTTTTATGGCTATTTGTTTTGCTGCTTTTATATTCAAACTCCCTTATCTCTCTGTCTGTCTTTTACTTTTGGGTATTTTTGTCTCTTAAAAAGAAAGAAAGTGTCATAGTCTTCTTATAATATAAGGAACCTTTTATTTTTATTGTATAGACTCCTTTTTTTCCTGTCACAAAAGCTTTAATGTTCTTAAAGACATAAATAAGTACTAATTATTGAAGACTATCATGATTATTGTGAGTCATGTTGATCAACATGTATGCTATGTTGCTCGGATTCTCTAAAAATATTGTCACACACGTGTCAAATCCTTCAAAAATCGTGTTTTTTTGGAGGATCCTACATGCACCAGTCGACATTTTTGAAAAGTCTGAGTCTGAGCAACATACGATGTATGTATCTCTCACTTTGGGAAGGGGGAAACTAGGCAATTAAGGACTCTCTTTATGATTACCTATACTTATCTTTTGCGTAAAAAAGGTCGATATGGTAAAAAGGAAGCTCGGCGCACTAAGCTCTTGTTTTGGGAAAAAGGTCAATATGATGTCCTTTACTTATTTTTCAATGTCTGGAGCAAAGGCTTGTAATATTGAGCTGTCAGTGTATTGTTAAAGAAAATTCCTCATGATCACGCACATATATATATGGAGCAATATGGATAGTCAACATTCGTATAGACGACCCCAACTAGATTGGTGTGTAGTTGTTGTAACTTCTTTATAGTGCTATTTTCTGCATAGTCTACGTCTACAGGATGTCGATTGTATATCACGTAAGCATATCATCATGAAAGTAAATTGTGATGAAATATATGGTTGTTAATAATTTATCTTTTGATTTGGTTTGCTTGTTGCCTTCTTTGTACTGATCAGTAGCATAATTCTAATTATGGGGTTGTTGCTTCATTTTGCAGAAGCAACACCAAAAACAATTATGAGAACAATGGGGGTGAAAGGTCTGACCTTATACCATTTGAAGTCACATCTCCAGGTATGTTTTTTTTATCGCAGTTTGCTTTTTGCTTCGTTCTCATATTCCACAGACATTGAAACATCTAGGCTTGAAGGGTAACAATACACTCCGAATACACTAGTGTACCATCGTAAACTAGTGTTTCACTTTATGCCAGCTCTATATCTAGGTTTATGTTTTATAATAACCACTGAAAGAGGTATCAAATGATTCTATTATAGTGATCCTTTGGTTTTACACTCTGCTTGTGCATTACCAAAGTTGTGTTCGATTAAGCTCTCAGTTTTGCCGAAAGTATCACTAAAAATCAATTCCGACAGCCAGATAAAACTTAGAATTGCTGAAATCTGTATCTTACATTTCCTTGCAGAAATACCGCATGGGGAAGCAATCTGCTAAAGAGGCAACCGAGAATTCTAAAGATGGTAATAAAGAACTTTTCATTAAATACTACAGTTTCCTAATTAGTTTACTGTCCTTGTTATTTGTTGTAGTTAGTTCTCTCTTTTTATTCGCCCTTTTGTATGCATGCATAACGATGATTTCGAGAAGTACAAGCATAACGATGTTTTCCTAGAACTTTCTCTGGATTCAATTGTTCGACTTCCCATGCCTCTTCTTAGTCCTCTTTCTGTTGGCTATGCTATAGAAAACCTTTTTGGAAATTCCATCTGGATTACAAGTTTTCCTGTTGTTGATGCATAGTAAGAAAGATGTATATATAAATGACGATGACACCTCTGAGAGGAGTACGTAAATGTTAGAAGAAAAATCTGTCGGAGAAATAAAGAGAGGCTGAAACTGGAATTGCTGTTGTTGTTTGTGTTTGCAGTATCATGTCCGGCTGAGAGTCAAGAGACAGGTTCCTCTACATCAGGTTCATCCAGAGTTATTGTGCAAGATATAAATGAGTATGTTATGTCCTTTAACATATATCTTTTTGGCAAAAAAAATTTTCTTTCTGGTTCATATCGACTTTGAACTCTTATATTTTTATTGAACAGAGGCTTACAAGTAACGGAGGCTTTACGAGTACAGATGGAAGTCCAGCAAAGACTACATGAGCAGCTAGAGGTTTGTCCTATACCTCTTCTTTCTCTCTACTCGTAGTGTTACTGTACTTAGTCTCAATCTTGAGTTCGTTGAGAGAAAATGTGCTCGTGTTAGACCTGATCTTCATTATCCCTTTTTAGTATTCTTTGCACCATGTGTTTTTTGTCCGGTTTCCATTCTTCTGTACAACGGGTATATAGGAGTGGTGAACGACATGTTTTTGGGATAATATTTCGTACCAAACACATCACATTTTGCATCTCCTAACTAAAACCTCTTGTAGGTACAACGCCATCTACAGCTTCGTATAGAGGCACAAGGAAAATACTTGCAATCAATTCTCGAAAAGGCTTGTAAAGCTTTCAATAGCCAGTCCCTCGAATTGAATGGCCTAGAAATGAACAGGGAAGAGCTCTCTGAATTAGCATTCATCAATGGCCCTTCATTACCTGATATTGGACCGAGTTTTGAGAACAAGAATGCATGTAACATCCCTGCCATGCTAGGCGATTGCTTGCTTGACGACTGCTTGCCATCAAATGGAATCAGTTCTCTAAAGAAGAGACCGCGAGGTTTTACTAACGTTAATGGATTACCTATGGAGAGCAATACAAGGGAGGTGGAATGGATGATGAGTAATATATGAACAAAAGATGTAATTTTTACCAACTTTTCTACCTATCATGTTTGATCCAAGATCAAACAATGTTGTTGCAAATGTTTGTTTTATTACCTTTAGTTTAAGTACCTTTTTATTAGAAATGAAGATCCAGTTGAAACCTTCACTTAGCATTCTTGTGTGAAGTGATTGTTCAATATGGAATTTGGAATTCTAATACAACTATAGTATATATATATTTCTTCTATATTCCCTGTATATTGTGGTGTCGTAGTGGGAGTATTTTTCACTCTTAATCAAAGTTTTTGAGTTTTCGAGCTTTGGTATAGAGAAAATTATGTTGGGAGTGTCACCCTCGGATGGACGTCGCAGTGTGCGATTTGGATTTAGTTTGAGCTCCAATGTGGGCTCGAGACATCGCCTAACGGAATGTTTTACTTTGCCACATTGGTATAAATATTAATTTTATTTTATAATTCCTTGAAAATGCAAAAAAAATAAAAAAAAATAACCATCATTAGAAGAAGGAAAGATAATATGATATATCAATCCATTTTAATTTATGGTAGTAAATTAATAACATTAGATAATAAATATATATTATGATTAATTGTTTTCCTCTGTTGATTTGAAACCAATATTTTATTCTCACAACAACAAATCTTGAAGTTCTATTTCCTTTTTATGCATATAAAATAAATATAACTTATATGAAAATATATAAACCCTAATACAAAATTATTTTTATTGTCTATTCACAATTGCAAATTATATTACAATGTCAAATAATAAATTAACCATTGTGATGATATCCTATATTTTTGTATCTGTTTCTAAGTAATAGAATATAATAATATGTAACAATCACTTTAAGAAAACATATTATAACCACTCCAAAGTGAAAAGATATTGTTACAAAGAGTTGATACTAATGCATTTGAGTTTATACACTTGGAAAATCAATTGTCACTGATAACATATAAAATTCTCAGTGTTATGCTCATACGATGGATTGCTACTATTAGTGACACAAATACGTTTGTTCTATGAAATCTAGTTGATTAAAGAACAAAAAACTCTTGAATGTTCATATTTGTACAATTCCACATGTCCTTGTGCTCGTGTATTGTGTTACAATTCAACAACTCGTGACTATAAAGTTATATTGATTTATAAGTCGTTTTATGCTAATTGAATTGAAATGTTCCAAACTTTGTATATAATATCAACTTCTTGTGATGATTATGTAAAACATTGTTATAACCTTTTAAGAATGATGAACTTATCTTTTATGAATCATTTGGATCATGTATTTTGTATTTACTAATTTTGGTTACGTGCTTTGCACATATATTTGTACTAGTCTTTAGGAACGTGCTCCGCACGTTTATCCCATATTATTATCATTCTTTATATTTTTTTCAAAATTTGAGAATTTCTCCTCTTATAATCGTATGTATAACGAGAAGTTGTTGTCGAATAAAAGTAATATTTTGCAAATATTGAACAGAAAGTTGATCAACATACGTCTTCTTTAATATGGCTAGAATATCATTATCAATTTTATAGTATACACCTAAAAAAAGTAGTAATTATATTATGATGAAGATAAAATGAATCAATATATATTAATTACAATTGCACCTACATCTATCATTTCTTTGAATCAAGATTGAAATTTCTTTGACATAATAATATTATTTGTATGGTTGAAATATAATCGTATTACGAAATATAATTAGGATCAATCTCTATCTAAAAACATTTTCTTTCATATGAAAATTTGACATAAGAGTATTACTTTTATTGTTTAAGTATAATTGCATTACAGAATATAATAAGAATCAATCTTTATTAAAGAATAAGAGACTTGATGTAAAAAGTTAAAAGACATTAAAAAATATAAGATCTAAATATCCTGAAAATTATTAAGACAATTTCTCAAATCTCAAAAATCTTATTTCTATATCACATTTCGTACAAACTATATTTTATGTATGCGAAATAATAAAATTGATTAAAAAAGAGAGAGAAAGTTGTAAATAGCATATCCATTATGTACCTGATGGTGCGAAGTGAGAGGGTGCACAATTGCCGAATAAAATCTGAAATATTAAAAAAAAAAGATATTTAGCAAACCGAAGAAAATCTTCATATATTAAATATATATTGTTGAGAACTAAAATGAACATAAGAGGAATAAGTTACCAATCAACAATATATTGTATATTCAAACTTTTATAGCTACTAATGATCTATATATTCTCTCCATTTCGTTTTATCTGACATTATTTCTTTTTTGGTCAGTATTATATAAAGCTTAAAGATGAAAGATTAATGTGACTTGAATTGTAGAAAATCACTGCACATGACTATATATTACTCCAATTCTATTTAACAAGGAACATGAAAAGTTCATATAACTTTTGGAAGCTCAAAGGAAAAAAATAGTAAATGTTAGATATAAATCACTAGGATTATAAATTGAGTTCAAGTAATCTGTATTAAGTTAATTAATGAGGAGATGAAAGATTTCTGTCAATGTAGTTAAATTACGAATAAATAACTTGTTTTTAAAATGATTACTCAACTTTTAATTATTTAATGTTTATTATTTACATGTTCTATAATATTTTTATTTAGTCTAAGAGCAAAATGGTAATCCAATTTTTAATGTTGGAGCTTCTCACTTATAATAATACAAGTACGTAAGAATCACATAGTCCATTCTTCATGAATTTTCTCTCCAAAAGTTGAATTAATTACATATCTTTTCTTTCCTCGGCTTATTCTATTCGTCAAGTTTCATCAAAAGTAATCTCTTTCTTCATTTAATCTTCCGTTTTAGCCACTCAAGTTTCATTTCAGTTATGTTTTATATCTTCATATCCATGTAATATTTACCTAACTAATAGATCAGTTACAAACTTTTGAGTTTTTACATTAAATTAGTAACCATGGATATGAAATGTTTTATAATATTGTAGTTAATATTGAAGGGATAACTTATTTTTAAAGATTAAATAACAATATTTGGTAAAATTTGCATTGGTAAATATAGAGCACAATAATGGCAGAAACTTGAATAGACGTTTGAATTATTTTTAATTATTTTACGTTTTTTTACAATTTGGTTAAGAAAATTGTTTAATTATTAAATAATAAATGTGGTTCAATATTTTGATATTTATGGATAAATTGGTCTTTCAACTTTTATCTTTGAGGCTTCATGCTTATAATAATATATGATTAGTTAGTATCAAAAATTTATATTTAATTTAAATTGGTATGTTATATGATAAAAACAAATATTAAAGTATATCGAAAAACATAATGTATATTAATCTTATATTTTAATCTCCTTACACTTTCATTCAAAATGGATTTAACATTGGTAAAATTACAATACAAATTAAGATAATTTTGATACTATTTATATAATAGTTACTTTATATGAAATATGCATACATGTTACTCTATGATATAAAAGAATATAATATTTTTTTAACTGTTTTTTTTATAGAACATTTCGCATAATTTTATATTAGATTTGAGATATATTTATCTATTTATAATAATTTACACGTTTGTCTACCTTAGAAAGATAATGTAAAAGAAAAAGAACTCCTAATTGTGTTGAAATGCAAACCAATTGAATCAGTATTATATGTGGTATTAAGTAGTTATTTGATCTTTTCTTTTAGAGATATTGCTAGTAGAAATTACTTCAACATTTATAGTGTGGGCATTTCATTAAGTCATTAGGGCAGTAAATATTTTATAAAAAATGGTGAAAAAATTTACAAGTTTTATATTATGATTGATTATAATGTAACTTTTTACTTAAGGTCTTTCCACTTGTAATACGATACATGTTTTATTACTTAATGAATTGTGTTAATTAAAAAAAATAAAAAATAAAAAATAAAATTATAAATGTTTATAGTATATAGTTAACTCATAAAAAAAAACTCTTTTGTATTAATTAGGCATCCTCTTATTATAATTTTGATATATAAATTCTATATTTATTTTAAACGACAAAATAAAGTAGCAAAAACAAACATAGAGACACACTACCTTGTGGTTAACTTTCTTAAAATTTCTCTACCGTTTAAAAAAGAATGACCTAGTTTGACTTGGAATGGAGTTTAAGAAAAGAAAGAAGATTTTTTAATCTTATGGTTTTAAATTAAAGTTATGTCAAATGTACCAAAATTTTCTTTAATCTTGTGGTCTTAAACATGTCACATGGAAAGTTAAAGTTAAAGTGTTGCCAAAAAAGAAAAAGAATCATTCTTTTTTAAACACATGAAAAAGAAAATAAAGTCATTCTTTTCGAAACGGAGGAAGTAGGGAATACAACGATTTGCAATTATTACAGCAATAATATGTATAGTCTTGTAAATTATGCATATTTGGATACTTTATGTTTTCCCAGACTATACTTTTTTTCTATTGTATTTTATTTTTTTGATTTTGAAATATTATTTCTTAATATTCCAACTGTTTCAAGTTTATTTTCTCATTTTTTGCAAATGTATTTTTCCGCATAAATATATCTTTTATCTTGACTTCAATTGATATTTATATCCTTCAATCTTGAGGTGTGCATAAGTAGACCGTTAAACTTGTATAAAATTATACAAGTAACTCATACATTCTATGTGACATAATACACATAAGATACTATGTAAAATATAAAATATCATTGTTATTAGATGTTTATAATTATTTGACTGTAAATTTAATTATTATTGTTATGAAAAATTTGAAATAGTAGTAGGCATCTCTTAATTACATAATATTTGTACTTGTAGTTATTAGAAATTATAAATTATAGTAGTTTGAATTGCTAAAACATCCTTTTCACCATTGAGTTTTTCAGGTGAGAAAAAAAACAATTATATAAAACTCCTATTTATATAATTGTTTTCCTACTTTTGAAGATTTGATATATTTTCTATTCATATTTTTGGATTATTTTACTCTGTAGAATGTTTTTCCCTCAGTAGTAATTATTTCCAAACAGAGCAATATTTGGACTATCTAATTAAATAAAAGCTTTTGGAATATTACTTTTTAAAGTTATAAAAGATTTGATATGATTTTTTTTAAATAGATTTTTTCAGCATAAATTTATACCTCAGTAGAAAATATTTCTATACATAGAAAAAGTTAAACCACTAGCTGGCTAATTTAATTGATATAATTTTTTTTTATGGATTTTTTTATTAAATAAATGTTTTTAAAGCATC